CATGCCTCCTCTGCCCTCTGCGAGGGGTGCTTCAGGAAAGAGACCATGCAGGCCTTAGGTCAAGTCCAGACGAGGTCAGCATCGCATTGGATCAATGCCAATCCCAATCCCAGCGGCATGGTGGGGTCCTGGAGCTGGCACATACTGGCTTATGACAGCTGATGGTTAAAACTCCAGAAATTTTGCAAGTTGGTTATTGATTATAGCATTATTTAAAACTAAATCATTGGGAGATGATTTGACGTTGGGTGGTGGGTGCACAATGCAGTATACCGATCATGCGTCACAGAAATGTACACTTGAAACCTATACGACCCTATTGACCAGTGTCGCACCAAGAAGTTTGAAAAATAATAAAGTAAAATAGAGACCAGGAACTAACTACTCAAACACCTAAGGCATTTTATAATGTGATAAAGGTGATTTTTCAACCCACAAGGTAGGAAAAGTAAAAAATTAAAATAAATAAAGCATGAAAAAAGTAAATCTTACATTAACTTGTACTTAAATCAGCTATATTAAAAACAAAGGGAATACTCAGAGTTCATCAGTTTTACATTAGTTCACCATCATCTGTGCTCTTCAGGTAATTTCTGTTTGTTGTGTCTATACAGTGCAAAGACTATGTAACGACTGGCTACTGATCACCTCTTCCCAACTCTGCATTTAGTGGCATCATGTCCAGGCTTGAAACTGGCTGTGGCGGGAGTATTTGCACCTGCCGTGGCCCCTGCAGCAGCACCTTAAATTCCAGCTGCAGGCCCTGGCCCTGCTGCTGCTCGTTACCCAGTTGGATTATCCTTCAGCAGGAATGTCAATTCGATGGCAGCCGAAGGCTCCTTGGAGATGCTTCAGGTGCTTAGCATCCGATGTTCAGAGGGAGAGGTAGAAGAGTGGGGCTCAAAAGGGCCCTCAGCACACACTTTTGGAACAAATTCGCTTTTACCTATTTATACACTAAGGTTTTGAATCTTTGCAATTTTGTTTGAAAAAAAAAACACCCTAGCAGATCTATAGGATAAAGTTTACTGCACAGTCTTCTCTTGATACTCACAGATCTACTATCCTTCCTTCCAATCTATGGATGACACCAATCAGTGTCCTTGGCCTGCTATGCTCCTGAGAGTTTCAGCCAATGGGAGGCACTGATGGAGGAGGGACAAGAGACAGTGTATTTATGCCCTGGCTCTCTCCCTGCCAGGCTGTGGTTGGCACTGGCTGTGCTGAGTGGCTCTCTCATAGGTACAGTTTCCCTTTTTCTAATTACTGCTTCCTTCTCTTAGCCCCCTTCTCTTGACCCCTAGAGATGGTAACAACTTTCCCCTTCCACTGTTGCCAGTCCAGAACGCTTCACCCTCTTTGTTGGTTTTCTGAACCCAGCTCCCACCCCTGTCTGTAGCCCCTTTATCACACTCTCCTCAGCCTCCCTTTTGAGCCTGCTGGCTGTTTCCTCCTGATCCTGGCTGAGATTAAGCCCTGGCTCCATGCAGATTGTCTTCCATCACCTGGCTCTGGTCAACGTTCCCTTTCCACGCATGGCTTCTGCTGAGCCTTCTCTCCCCTGGGCCCCGTTCCTCACACCGTTAGCAGGTGCTGGACCCTGCCTTCACTCATTGGCATGTCAGTCTCCCTGCTGGGGTGTGTGGGTGCTCTTAGGGAGCAGAAGCCGACTACCCCTACGGTCTGGCACAGTCGTGGCACAGAGCCATTTGCTGACTTAACATGGCAATTGAAAGGCAACTCTTCCCTTCAAAGGCCATCCCTGTGCAGAAAATCATTCGCTTATTTTCTTCTGAGATGGAAAAACTCCCGGGCACTGAACAGTGTTACTGAGGCCTCAGTGCTGGTTGGAAGAATGGGAAATAACATACCCTGCCTGTCCCACACTTGCTGACTGGGCTGGGTGCTCGGCCAACACCAGGGCTGTGTATCAGCAGAGCTCCATTTGTTAGGTAGACAAAGCAGGTGAGAACGCTGTCATCAAGCCAGGGTTGGCTTGCCGCTGGCTTATCTACTCCCAAAACCCATCAGAGAAGCGAGGGAAGCATCATTCTTATTGGCCAAATGCATCATCTTGCTTAAGGAAGCAAGGCCGGAAACACTAGGAACCCGGCCATTCTTGCAGTTAGATCTCACTATCTCAACTGCTATTCAGAACAGTCCAGTCAAGGCCAAACCATTTACAGTCTGCTCTGTGCTTATTACTCAATTGATTATGACAATGTCCTCCAGGAGATTCTCCACACACCTCGGGCCCCACGGGTCAGGGGGTGGGTAGGATAGGAATTGATTAGTTAAGAATTGTGCAGCATCAGGGCAGAAGTGGCGGGTCCTTCCTCCCTAGCTCTGGAGAGCAACCAGCTCAGCATCACTGAAGGCAGGAAGGACTCACTGGCTTTGGACTTAATCACACTGGAGACATTGTCATTCAGAATTCCCCCTCCCCTGGTAACACTGCGTGGGCTGGGACAGCTTTCTCTGGCCTAGAATGTACATTCTCACTAACAGCAACAGCGTCTCCACTGACATGACTTAATTAAGCACCTTACTCACTGAGGCTGCACATCAGAATTACCTGGGGAGCTTTAAAAGCTACCAAGGCCCCAGCCCCACGCCCAGAGGACCGAATCTAATTGGTCTGGGGAAGGGCCTGGGCGCTGGGGCTTTTCACAAATTTCCTTAAGGGATTTTAATGTGCAACTAGGCTTGTCTAACTGTGTCATCCAGCTCATTAAAAAGAGGACCCAAGGATTCTTGTCCTTGACTCCTAGGAGTTTACTGTCCAACCAGAGGCACAGAATTATCTCTGGTGTTTGGGTGGAGATCCTGGGTGACTATGAATTCCTCAGTGGTTGAGGTTCTGAGATGTTTCAAAGTCAAGTTCAGATCTAGCAGACTCCCCCCAAACCCTCCCTTGGCTGGGGTTTTTGTGTGCATGTTTATTATCCTCTGATGTGTGTTAGTTATAGTCCAAAGGGTCCCTCTCAGAAGCCTTGACCCAGATCCCGGCAGTTAAAGCCCACGCGAGAGCTTGGCCCTGAGACGTCCCAAGGCTGGTGCCGTGAGAGGGCTGGACCTGGGGCTGGACCAGCGGCTGGACCACAGCACAGAAGCCCCTACTCAAGAGGTGGTCCCCATTCAACTTGGCCAACATTGCCATGACGGCATGTGGGCCTGGTCCTACCACATCTCTCTTTCCAGATAAATCAGAAATCTGGGTTTTCTGTGAAATTACTTGATTTTTCTGAGTTGGGTTCAATTTTATTAAAACAAACACATGTGATGCGGAACAGAAAATGCATCAGCAGACTGAAGTGGGACCCAGGCCCCCAGAACTAGAGGGAAGAGCAGACCAAGTCTTCAAGTGTTAGATGAAAAGTGGAGATTCCCACTCGGTCAGGGACCCGAGGAGTAAGTAATACCGCCCAGCCCCCTGCAGGCACACGAGCCTCCTGTCTGGAGGCTGCCCTGGAGCGAGGCCCGGGGAGCTGGTGCTGCTGCCCCAGCACAAATCAATCACCATGCGACTGTGTTCTCGCTACCTGCTGCCACACCAGTGGATGTATCGTCGAGAGGTGATGAAATATTTGTTCGTTAATGAAAGGTGGCCCCAAAGAAGCCAGTTACTGCACAAGTGATGAAGGAGAAAAGCAAGGGAAAGAGGGATGGCTTTTATCCAGAAAGCAGAGCTGTGGGTAAAGTGCGGAATGGGGAACTCAGCAGGGCTCGGGTCTGCGGGGCGCTGCGGGGCACCCTACCTTCTAAGGCTCACAGCCTGCTGGGCAGATGGCGCCACGGGGTGGAGTGTTTGGGAGAAGGCCCTGTGTGCCAGGGCCTGCATCCTCAGGCTGGAAGGCAAGGAGCTGACTCTCGGAGCAGGCAGAAGTTGGTGGGTGGCTAAGGAGGGCTCCCTGGAGGAGGGCTGGTGTAAGCTGATCCTGGAGAGAGTGAAGTGAGGATGAGATGGGCATCGCTAGGGTGAAAAAAAACCTGCATTTGTGAGGCATGGAAGCCGAGCTGAGAAGGATGCATGCAACGTGCAGAGCTGGTACTGAACCTGTGACCCTATGAGGCAGAAGGGGAAGGGTCCTCAGTCACTGGCCACCTGGTCAGACCCCACAGTGTGCACAGGAGGAAGCGACTTACCCAAAGTCACAGCATGTAAGTGATAAAGCTGGGACTCACACCCAGGGCTCTGCCCCCTAAGCCTGAGCCCAGCCTCCAGCCTCAGGTCAGAGGGAGGGAGGACACTGCCCCGGTGGCCCACAACATGGCTGCTTCTACGGGTCTGCCCTCACCAAGGTGGTCTTTCCTAAAGCAGGCGTGCAGAGAGCCTCTTCCTCCAGGAAGCCTCCCCTTCAGGCCCCACTTGGTGATCTGCACTGTGTCACCCCTGGGGATGGAATATATTTGCATGAGCGCTGGGTCCTCAGAGGTTGGCACAGCGCATGCTGGTGGCCCATATGGCTGAGTGAATGTTGTGCCAGTCCTCACCCGTCCCCCAGCCTGCTTCCAGCCCTGAGCCTGGCCAAGCCACACACTGACCCTGCAGCAATTTGCACTGCTCTGCAGTGACAACGTGCACTTCCAAAGTCATGTCCAGCCCCACCATTGGATCTACTTTGAAATGGTTTCCCTATAGGGTTTACCCTGCTTGACCCTGTGTCCCCTGCAGAGCCACCCTTTGGGCATCAGAGCCCTGGCATCGGGAGTTTGACCTGTTCTTCCACCATCGCACCAGCTTGGCATGGGCCCAGGACCCCAGCCCATTCTCCCTTCCACCGTGGGCCTTTGTAAGGTGGCTAGAATTTGGGCTCAGTGGAGACGATGAGACGGAAGAGATGAGGAGTGTTTGAAGAGGGAATCACATTCTTGACTTCTGAGAGTCTGGGGGCATACCAGCCAGGCTGACGGAAAAAGCCCCCCCGGGCCCCTCCCCAGAGAGCATTTAATAAGCAGCTGAAGGACTGAACCATAAACTTTATTAGAAACGTTCCTCATTCATCAGTCAAGTTCACATTAAAGTAGGGGAGGCAGTGCCGTCTGGGGCTCTGGGATGCCACTGCTGTGACAATTTCCAGTTAAAAATGAGTCTGGGCAGAGCGTTGGAAACACACGGGGATGGATGCCCGGTGGTGGTGGCCGCGGCAGCATTCCCGGGAAAGGACCAGGCTCGGAGCAGAGGAGAAGGTGCCTCCCACGACCACCCTCTGGTGACAAACTGCCCCCCCCAGGGCCCCAAGCTGATAAATAAACAGCACATCACACACACGTCAAACAGAAACAAACTAGTACAAGTCTCCTAAAGTGAAAAAATAACTCGCTCGAATAAAGCTTTGTGGCCACCAGGCTGCACCCTGTATGGCTGGTTGCCTAGAGACCCTCCGCACCCAGGAGGGCTCCTTAGGCACCAGCCACTAGGGTGTCCCAAGGCCCCCAATCCCCCATTAGCACCTTTGGACTAAGTACCGCCCTCGCTCACCACACTCCTCTTTTAAAATGCAACTGCTATTTAAAATAATAATAAAAGAAACACTCTGTCCCTGGGATGAATTAGTGAGACTCAGCTTCCCTGAATAGAGGTGCCTGGGGCTAACAGTGGGTCAGGGTGGGGAAGGAGGACGTGTGACAAGGGTAAGTAAACGACTTTCGAAGAGGTAAGCTGGATGGCATCTAAACACTGCTGTGTCCACTTGCCAGGTCAAAGGGCACAGTGCTGAAGTATCGCGCCAATCAGGCTGCCCCAACAAGGGGTGGGGTCCCGGAGGGGATGCGGCAAGCCGTTTTCACCATTCATTATTTAGAAGCAGTCCCCCCGCCCCCACCCTGTCTGCAGCAGGCACAACAGAAAGTCTCCTGCCCCAATGTTTTATTCATTCTCTTGAATATGGAAACAGGATCTCTGATCAATACCCGTGGCTGCTGAGTCTTGGTTCGCAGGCAGAGGCTCTGGGGTTCTTCGTGGCTTCCAAGGAGATGTGGAGACTTGGGAGAGCTGCTTCTAATGCAGCAAATACTGTTGGCAACAGACATTCGTTTTTTAAGTTGGGAACATGTCCTGGCCTTTCAAAGAACTGAAAGTTCTGGGGAACCGGGTTGAGGAGGAAGATGCCTTCCTGAAAGTTCTCTGTGACCTCGAAATGACTGGCCGGGCCGTTGGACTGCCCACTGCTGCCCATCAGCGCCCCCCAACTCAAGTCACTGGTACTGCAGATAGTTTTTGAGAGACTGAGGCAGAGGCAGGGAGCCGATGTCCTGCAGGCGCTGGCGGCCCAGGGCCAAGCGGATGGATCTCCGGCACAGGTCCATCAGCGGCAAGGGCTCAGCTGCAACAAAAGGGAAGTGGGTTAGAGTCTCGCCAGTGCCTTCCTCACACCTTCTCCCCACCCCTCCACCCACAGTGCCCACGGCCAGACCACCTGCTCCTCCGAGCTGACTTTCAGGGCCCAGAGCTCCTCCTCTGGGAAGCCTCCTTGAGTTATGTTAGCTGAAGGCTTAGTTTTTTTGTTGTTTTCAAAGTGTAGGATGCAACTGATTAGACTTTAAAATGGTGAATTGAATGCAGTGGGTGACCAGAAATTGAAAGAAAGAAAGAAAAGAAAAAAAAGGAAAAGAAGAGAAAACGGAGAACAATGCCCGCAGCATGGGTAAGCACTGTCCCATGAAAGTTCTGTCTGTGGTGTAGGTGTCTAGTGTGTCCCGGTGTGAAAAATACTGCTTTCTCACTACAGGGTGTGAGAGAAATGAAGTGGCTGACCTAGGGGGACCTAAAGGAGGCTTCCTCTTAGAAGCAGGTTAGGTTGGGGAGACTCTTTCAAATGTCTCTGAACCTTCTATAGCTTCCATTGACAGTCAGCAGAGGGATGCATTTTCTTCCAATAGTTCTGGAACCATCCACAACTTAAAATTCATGGAACCTGTGGATGCAGGGCCAAGCCTCATGCACTTCACTGCAGACACAATTATTAAGCTCTTGTTCTCTCCCAGGCCCTGTGACTGGACCCAGGGATACAGAGATAACTAGGTCAAGGCAAGAGGTGTCCCGGGAAATGGAGAAAGACAAGTGGTCTGGGAGTTTAAACAGGTGAATAATGGGAATAGAGAATAATATATGTATGCAATAAATATGTATGCAGTAATTCTTAAAGCACAGGGACAGACACCGAGCAGTTCCTGTATGGAAGGGCCATTGAAAACTTCAAAGGGGGGGTACATGAATGGGGTTTTGAAGAGTGAATAGGAGTTTTATGTGACGTGAGTTGGGACAGGTGTTCTAGGAAGAGAGAACAGGCATAGGCACAGAGGCATGAAACAGGGCAGACTGCAAGATCTGGAGGGAGAGGAGTGGCGCGGGTCAGCGGGGTCGGGAGTGAAGTTGCCGGTGATCACATGTGGCCTCACCCAGCGTCCACAGGCCTGGCTTCCTCAAGCCCGCGGGAACATGCTGGAGGCCTGAAGCTGCAGCTCAGCACTTTTCTTGGTAACAGAACAAGTGACATTTTAAAAGCTGTCTGTAATGTGCTAAGATACAATGAAACTGTAAGTGGTAAGTACTAATACAGAGCTGTAATAGGAATAATATCACAAGGGACGGGAAGGTGGTGAAGGATGTGTTGTACAGGAATTTTCATTTACCAGAGCTGCAGAGGCAAATAGGCATTACTACAAAGGCGGGACTTGGCTGGTGCATGGCAGTGTCTCCAGCTGTCCTTCGCGTGAGGCGAGACCTCGTAGTGTTGTGTCTGCATGGAGTGTTAGCGGGTTTAAACACTTTCGCCTCTGTGTCCGCTTCTGACCCCCATACAAACCCTTGCAGTTGGCCAGGGAGCCCCAGGCAACCCCTCTTTTCAGGCCCAGAAGGCAGATCACTCACATTGTCACAAGGTCACCGTGCCTAAACCAGTGCTTGACACCCTCCTCAAGGTACCATCTCTGCCCTAGCAACCCTCCTGCTCTCTGTCCTCCACGGGCCCTGACCTGACCTTTGCACTCGCTCCCCCACCCAACCCAAATCCTCCCATCTTTGACATGTTGCTGGACACTGACCTCCTCACTGCAAGTTTCTATGACCTCCTTTTAGTTCCTATAGCACTGGTACTCGCTACAATACCACTGGATGGTGGGGAGAAAGAAAACCAATAGTTCTTGTTTAATGAGCAAATGTTACTTACCTACCAGGCAGCACGAAGGATAAAAGGTAATTGCAGCGACTGTTTATTAAAGGTTTGTTATGTGGCCAGGTACTGGCTAAGCTCTTTATTTATATCAACTCATGTGAATTCATCTATCAAATTCATATCACAACAACCTCTTGGGTTAAGAACTATTATAATTATTCCCATTTTAAGGAGGAGGAAACTGAAACACAAAGAGGGTAAACGCTTGCCCGAGGGCACATAGCTGGTAAGTGGCAATGCCAGGAGTTGAACCCAGGCAGCTGTCTTATGTCCTAACCACATTTACTGAGCATCTGTTCTGTCCCCTTTGTTCTGTGAGCCTTACCTCATTTAGATGTGACCGTGGCTACTACAGAGAAAAGGAAATTGAAACTCAGAGAAATGAGACGCTTGCTCAGAGTCACACGGTCCCAAAGCCTGTACTTGGAGCTGCATGCTGCTGCCTTAAACACCATGCAAGCATAGAAAGTTGCTTTGAGGGCAGAAGTAAAGGAGAGGGTGAGCTGTCTCCCAGGCTCACAGTCCACACACAGGCGCTTACTCTTTGGCTCCAACCACTTCCCAGCTCCCTGCTGCCGCCTCTTCTGCCATGAGGTCTGCACCCACCTAAATGGGCTGCCCTGAGACCAAGAGCACCCCCATCCCAGTGTGGATGCCCACCAGCCATAATCCCATCCTCATGTTCCTTGGGGCATGTCAGTCCCCCCCCTCGGGCCCGGATGGTTGGGATCTCCAGGACTTCGGAGCCCCTGATTTTCAGCTCCAGCTCTGCCACCTGTAAGTCTGTGCCTTTGTGAAGGTTACTCTGAATGTCCATTTCTCCATCTGTAAAGCGGAGCACAATTTGCAGGTTTGCAGAGAGGATTAAAGGAAATGACAGGTGCCCTGCGCCGGGGGCACAGTATGTAGTGGGAGCTCAGGAACACGGGTCCCTGCTGACGGCGTGCTGGCGGACACACCGCAGCTGCGCACTGAGCCCCACCCCGACCCGGAGTGCCCTGTTTCTCCGTTCAGACAAACACAGCGTGGATTTTCAGTTTCATTCATTTAACAATGAATTAGTTACAAGGAGACTGTGAACTTCCTAAAGGACAGGACCCTGACCCATCTGTCTTGGGACCCACGGCCTCCAGCCTGAGCCTGTAACCGGGGGATGACCTACTGATCCTCTGTCAAATGAGTGAGCTGACCTGCTGCTTTGGGGCATCTCTTCTATGGCTGTTGGAAGCGACTGAAGTGAACTGCTCTTACTGAGCAGCATTTCTGTCCTAACTCCCCACTTTCCTCTCCTGTAAACTCCCTGAGAACAGGGCATGAGTTAGAAGGTGTGAAGTGCTTAGTACAGTGCCTGGCATAGTGTAGATGTTCGATAAACACCACTTCTTGCTATCTCCTTCACATCCAGGTGTTGTTTGGTTGCCCCTGGTGAAGAAGAGCTTGGGAGAACTGTTGAAAAGATAGGCTATGGCTGGGAGACAAGCAGTTCCTTCTCTGATGGGAGATGAGCTTGCATTTTATATTAGGAAAATTTTGAGCTGTTAAAGTTTGATGACCACTGTCAAAGGTTAAGAGCTTTCTTAGCTACTTCGATGCCCCAGGCACATAGTAGGTCCTCAGGGCCCCAAATGCAGAGCTTGTCAGACTCCCCATGTGTTCCTTGCCTGACGAGGAGCAGAACACAGGGAATGAGTGCTGTTTATCTCCATCCCTCTGCCGTCATGGAAATCAATCCAGAGCCCAGACTCCAAAGCAAGAGAGAAAGGAGGGGCTGGAGTTTGGAGCCTGTCTTTACATCAGTCATCTCTCCTAAGTTCTGATGACTGCCGGGCAGTCCCACAGGGCAGCTGCTTTGGTGCAGCTGCGGAATCTCCAGAGCTCTGAGGCTGCCCGGTGTTGGCTGGGGCCATCCTTCTAACTCCTCCTTCTCACTTCCCTTGGCTTTGGAACTTCTTAGAACTCTCAAAGGTCAAGGTTTAGAAATGATCACCCAGGTGGGAAAAGAAACAATTTTTCAGCACAGGAGCCATTCTCAGAAATGTTTTCTGATTAAAGATAAAATTAAAAAGGATTTATTGTTTGCCAAAGTGAACATACAGAAGGCCAATAAACACATGAAAATGTGCTCAATTTCCTGAATCATCAGGGATGTATAAATTAACACTGTAATGTGACTCTATGAGATGCCAGCCAGTATGGCTAAAATGAAAATGAGATAGTAGCAAGTGTTGATGAGGATGTGGAACAACTGGAACTCCCATAATGCTGTGTGTGGGTGGGTAAACTGGCACGCTCACTTGGGAAAACTGGAGTTGCCTCCTAAAGCTGGCCGCCAGTTTTACTCCTGGGTGCTCACATGTTCACCAAAATGCACGCACACAAGGGTACCTGGAGGCATGCACCTGCAAGCAACAACTTTACTGTTCACCAACAGTGGGATACCTAATAAACTGGGTATCTTCACAAAGTCAAATACTAATCTGCCGTGAAGATGAAGGAACCACAATTATATGCAAAAAACACAGACAAATCATTCAGACATAATTTTGAATGAAAGAAAAGTACATTTTGTGTGGCTTCATCTGTAAGGAGATCAAACTTGCAGGGGGATGAAGTTAGGGCAGTGGTGACGCTGGGGGAGCAGTGATTGGAAGGGGCACGAGGGCGGCTGGCCTTGTCTCGCTCCCTGATTTGATTTCTGCCTGTACTAGTGTGTACAGGTTTTTAAAAATCATCAAGCTTACTCATCTGAGATTTGTATACTTTCTGTATATTCATGAAAAACAAGTTTACGTTAAAAAAGTGGGAGCAAAGTGTGCGTGGGGGGCTGACTTAGAGTCCCCAGCACCCATGGGCAGGACAGCTGGCCCACCTTCCTGGAGCCCCATTTCTCACCTGCAAAGTGGGAACAGCAACACCTGCACCACACACCTGGGGTGGTGTGCCAGACCATGCCCCTTTCCTGTCCTTAGATGTGTTCTCTTATTGCAGGCCATCAGCCCAAGGGGAACCTTTAAAAATAGTCATAGTTTACTTATTGTGCTTCTAAAAATGCCTCAGTGCATCACTGCAGCTGTCAACAATGCCATGCTCTGGATGAAGATTTACTGGAGCCAGGGCAGGATGTCTGGCTCTGTGCTAAGAATATCACA